AGCTCCAGTACGAGTGGCAGCAGCAGCAGAGACAGTAGCAGCAGCACTAGTAGTAGCAGTGAGAGCAGAAGTCGGAGCAGGGGCCGGGGACATAATAGAGATAGAAAGCACAGAAGGAGCGTGGATCGGAAGAGAAGGGATACTTCAGGACTAGAAAGAAGTCACAAATCTTCAAAAGGTGGTAGTAGTAGAGATACAAAAGGATCAAAGGATAAGAATTCCCGGTCCGACAGAAAGAGGTCTATATCAGAGAGTAGTCGATCAGGCAAAAGATCTTCAAGAAGTGAAAGAGACCGAAAATCAGACAGGAAAGACAAAAGGCGTTAATGGAAGAAGCCAGGCTTTCTTAGCCTATTCTTTGCAGCAGAAGATTTCTTGATGAGTAAAAGGATTACCTTTCCTTGTAAGGAGGATGCTGCCTTAAGAATTGCATGTTGTAAAAAATCTTTTTGGAAAATACAGACTGTTTGTTTACCAGACATTCTTGTACTTTTTGCATAATTTTGTAAGAGTTATTTATCAAAATTATGTGAGGTTCCAAAATATGTAAAAATAATAATAATAAAAAAAGATTAACATCCCTTGTCATCTTTTTTAAATATCCTATACTCTTCAGTAAGAATCTGTATATTTTAATAGGCAAATCTTTAAGTCTGTTCCCTTCTAATTCTGTATCATACATTGCTTTTGTAGAAATAAATGTGCATTTCTTTCATTTTTGGGATGTCCTTGTTGACACTTGTATAATAAATATCCTCTTGATATTTTCAGCTTTTATCAGTACATACTGAACGTGATTAGAATGTTTTGGAAGATTTCCTCACTTTAATTTGCTTTAGACAATTATTTTGAGTTGTCAGAGTCAAGATCTTTGCAGCTCTGAGGGGGGAACAGTTCTCTTTAAACATTTACTAATCTCCTTTGTTATTTTAATTGAAACATTTTTCAGTGTTTCTCATATTTAAACCATATATTTGGTAGATAACTTAAAACAGTATGATCTGATTGGCATTTCTTCCTGATTATGGGAGCATCATTCTTTTGTCTTCATGGTTACTTGTGTGATACAGCATATACATCTGTTAAAATAATCTAGGGGAGGGAGGTAGAAAAGTATCCTCTAAATTTGGTTTTTGAGTTTGTGGTCTTGTCTTAACTTTTGTGTTGGCTCTAACTTAAACATGCCATATGTGTTCTCAAGAATTTTGTTTAAGGAAGTATTGTGTGAAAGTTTACAAAATGAAGGAAGTTCATCTAGACTTTAATATGTAAGCAAGATAACACACAAGTGTACCAAGTGATTATTAACTTTGTTGTTTTAAAATTTGTATGAACTTGGAGTATCTGTTGCCCATTACATGTGCAAATAAATGTGGCTTAGACTTGTGTGACTGCTTAAGACTAGTACTTGTATTAACTTTTTGATGATACTTTATACAAAAGAGCACTTAAATTGCAAATAGCTTTTTTTTTTAATTTATAATTTACCATTGTAGCTATAGGGTTGACTTTGAATATTCATTGTGCCTTCCCTTGACAAGTAAATGGTTACAGTGAAAATGTAAACAAGCATTTCTTTTCTTTTTGAGACAGAGTCACTATGTTGCCCTTGGTAGAGTGCTGTGGCATCACAGCTCACAGCAACCTCAAACTCTGCTTAAAGTGATTCTCTTGCCTCAGCCTCCTAAGTAGTTGGGACTCCAGGCTCTTACCACAATGCCCGGCTAGTAACGAAGTACTTCTAATTAGTTAAAGTGAATGTGTTAAAATGTGTTGTTGTTTTTGTTTTTTGAGACAGCCTCAAGCTATTCCCCCTGGGTAGAGTGCTGTGGCATCACAGCTCACAGCAGCCTCCAACTCCTGGGCTCAAGCGAGTCTCCTGCCTCTGCCTCCCCAGTAACCTACCATGATGCCTGGCTATTTTTTGATTGCAGCCGTCATTGTTGTTTGGCGGGCCTGGGCTGGGTTCAAACCTGCCACCTTAGGTGTATGTGGCTGGCGCCTTAGCCACTTGAGCTACAGGTGCTGAGCCTTAAAATGTGTTAAAAGAACTTTTTTTTTTTTGGTAGAGAACGAGTCTCACTTTATTGCTCTTGGTAGAGTGCTGTGGCATCACGCAGATCACAGCAACCTCCAACTCCTGGGCTTAGGACTCTTAAAAAAAACCCATACACAGAGGTTACGGCACCAGCCACATATACTGCAGGGAGCAGGTTTGAATCCTGTCCAGGACAGCTAAACAACAATTCAACTGCAACAAAAAAATAGCTGGGCGTTGTGGCAGGTGCCTGTAATCCCAGCTACTTGGGAAGCTGAGGCAAGAAGAGAATCACTTAAGCCCAAGAGTTTGAGGTTGCTATGAGCTGTGATACCACAGCACTCGACCAAGGACAACATGGTGAGTGAAACTCTGTCTTCAAAAAAAAATGGCTGGTCCAAAAGCAGTAAGTTCTCATTGATTGTTCACAGATTGAACTTGTTCTACTCTTTCCTCTTCCTACTGTACTTGACTTGTGGGAAAAAAAATTTTTTTTTGAGACAGCCTCAAGCCATCGTCCTTGGTAGAGTGCTGTGGCATCACAGCTCACAGCAACCTCCAACTCCTGGGCTCAAATGAATCGCCTGCCTCTGCCTCCCAAGTAGCTGTGACTACAGGTGCCTGCCACATCACCTGGCTATTTTTTGGTTGCAGCCGTCGTTTGGTGGGCCCAGGCTGGATTTGAACCTGCTAGCTCAGGTGTATGTAGCTGGCGCCAAGCCAGTTCAATTGTTAAAACAGTAAATGAATGGAACTTCCTCAGCATGCAGAGCTGTCTGCATCCCTGAGCTAGTTCAACCAAGAGTAGCTTTATCAACAGCTTGTAGTACTCACCAGCAAAATTATTTCTTTCTGTGCCATGATAGGGAAGAGGTTGGTAAACAGTGCATTAAAGGGGTGATCATAATTTAACCTAGTTTAAAAAGCATACTATTTAAAGATACTGGTATGCACTGATAACTTTGTACAAATTTTGTCTGCTCATTTGACCTGTAAAATTTGAATAGTTTTCTTGTTTATTGAAAAGATACTAGTTTTGGCTTAAAGTTCTCTGGGATAAGGCAGGCATATAGGTATGGGGTAGAGGGGAGTAATTTCCAATTATTTCAGTTGCACTGTACTGATAATGGTTTATAGAAGGAATTTAATAACTTTTCCCCCCTTAAGATGGTTTTTTTGTGTTGCCTGAGCTAGAGTATATAATGGTATCTCAAAGCTTACTGCAGCCTCAAACTCTCAGGCTCAGGCAATCCTGTTTTGGCCTCCTGAGTGGCTAAGACTATCCCCAGCTAGTTTTTCTGTTTTTTTGTAGAGATAGTGTTGTTACTTAGGCCAGTCTTGAACTTCTGACCTCAAGCAGTCCTCCCACTTAAGCCTCCCAAAGTGCTAGGATAACTGTCGCAAGCTACTGCACTCAGCCTAATAACTAATTTTACTAACATTTTAACTTTATTTCTAAATTGAAAAGTCAATTTTTCAAGTTTTCTGGTTTTTTTGAGAAAGTCTTTACTTCATTGCTGCAGGCTAAAATGCTGTGGCATCAGCCTAGCTCACAGTATCCTCAAAACCCCTGCATTGAAGGCTATCCTCCTGCCTCACCCTCCTGAGTAGCCAAGACTACAGGTGCCCACCACAACATCCAACAAAATTTTTCAATTTTTTTAGTTGAGACAGGGTCTTGTTCTTGCTCAGGCTGGTCTTGAACTCCTAAGCTCAGGCAATGTTCCCTCTTTGGCCTCCCAGAATGCTAAGATTATAGTCATGAGCCACTGTGCCTGGTCAAGTTTAAATTTTTTAATGTTTCCAATTGATGTTTTATTCTTAGACCTGAATTCTATGGAACTAATGTTCAGAGAACCCCATGGATTTGTTTACTTACAGAGACACAAGGAATGAGTTCTAATGTAAAAGACAGTTTTCCAAGGGAAGAAAACATACAGATTCTCCTGTTAAGATTACAATTCAGTGTTTATGGAAAATTTAAAAACTGAAGTGGAGGGTGGGGTGAGTGACTAAAGACTAAAATCATTTTGGCATTCTGTTAATTAGTGAATACATCTAAAGTGCTTTTTGGGAAATCACTAGTTTACTCTTGAGATTGTAACATTTGGACAGCCACTGGAAGTAAGGAATAGTTTGATCTGTAATAAGCTGTAATTTGCAACTAGCTCCTTTATACATACACTGTAGAACTCTTAGATACCTGTTCACACAATCAAGTAATTC